CCTCCTCCTCCTCCTCCTCCTCCTCCTCCTCGTCGATTTATTTCTCGAGTTTCTTTCCGGCGTTATTGCCACTCTGGGCCAATTAAAAACGCGCGTTCCCACGGTCGGCGCGTATATTGCCAAAAGTCTTAATAAGGGAACGCGATGGAGGTGGAACTCCGGAAAAGGGCTCACGAATTTAGGGGCTCCTTTTTCCCAGTAAGCGTTTTGTCGGATTCTTTGTGTTCACGATGCGGAACTCTATTTCGACGTCGTTTCCGACCAGAAACAGTCTCCCTCTCTCTCTCTCTCTCTCTGTTTCACGAAGTTATCTTAGCAAAAAATAAATAGAAAAAAGATAGAAATAGCAAAAAAAAAACGAAAAGTGAAATAAACGTGTCCTCACGTAAAAATTCCCTTCGAGTTTCTCGCATTTCTCATGCTGATGCTGCGCGAAAATATGTCAGATAAAGACGAGAATTTCTCGTTCCGAATTCGTAAGATCCCAAGTGGATTCAGAAAGATATCCTGGAATTTCTGGAAGAAAGGTAAAGTTTTACTCACCGATGACTGCAAATGATAACGGGGATGCAATATAAGACTTGCATCTTCGTTGCAACAGGAAGTTTGGCAGTCGGGATTGGCAGATGTACTCGAGGATCAAGGACAACACGGACGTCAACGGGATGATTTGATCCTAAGGTGGAGAGGTGCGTATCGACGCACGTGGATCAGGTGCATCGACGATAGATATCACTCAGTTTTTTCACTCTTTTTTGTGCGAAAACGCGCAGTAGTCTTTATTTACGACCGCAATGCTTTGCTCATCTTATATAAAGGGATTACATATACAAAACACACGAGGTTCTCGCGCAATTCTCTCGTTTGTCAGCACTACGTCTCTTCTTCTTTCTATTTTTTTTACTTTTTCTTCCTTTCTTCTCTTTCTTTCTCTCACCTCCAACTCTTTTTCTCTCTCTTTCTCTTTATCTTTCTGTCGTCTCCATCTCCTTTTCGAGCGTATCTACAACGTCGTCGCCACCCGCGACGTTCCTATCCGGAGGGACTTTTCTTTCCTCTTCTTCTCGCGCGATCGCACACTTCCAAGAAGTTCCTCACCGTCCTCGCCAGCAAGATTCGCGAGTAACAGTCACGTGGTATTCCATGAATATCCCGAGTGCAATTGCGTGGCCCGACGATTTCGCTCAAAGTCCAGGCAAGTAAAGCGCGTGGCGGTTTCAAGGACGCGGCTTCCTCTTGTTCCTCTGCGTAGCATGCTCTTCGGGGTTCAACGAGGATGTCAAGTAGCGAAGAAAGAGGACGGGAGAAGTGCAGAAGATTCGCGATCAGCAAGCAGAAGGATGGGATAAGTGGTTCAAGCATGCGGCGTCCTGAAACGCGCGATGCGGCACAACAACGTCGTGGTGTCGATCGGGATGACTCGAGGAGACGTTCGTCCGATAGTCTCGAGTACCTCGCGAGGATGTCGAAGCTTCGCCGAGCGGCCGGTCTTCTCGCCGAGCTGTCGTCGCCGGCACGATGGGAGGTCCTTGGATAATGTCGTCGCTAACCTCAGCGTGTCCTAGAGTATCTGGAAGAGCTTCTTGAGTTCCACCATGAGTTGCCAGTCGGTCTTCAGCAGGTCATCTCTGAAGTAGTCTTTGCAAGCGTCTATGCTCTGTCTGCTTATCTGCAACACGCAAAACGATCGCCCCGGTGGCGGTGTTACGGTAGGAAACAAACAAATTGTAAAAAAGGAGATATACGGAGAGAAAGAATGATTAATTCAACTAAAATTATGGTTAATTATATATCCCAATCATATTTTGGGCTTGTCCTAACACGAAAATGGCAGCAGTGAAATGCATATAAGGTTATCATCACATTAGCATTATAGTGGAATTCAATAAAGAAAATGGTCTTTATGATCCTAGTTTATAGTGATTATTTCTCCATATGATTATAGTTACAAGTACACGGGAAAAAAATTTCAGTTCGTGTAACTGAATGGGAATCAAGTGAGGAACTCGCTGACGAGGAATAACATCTCTGTTACTGCGACCGAAAATACTTGTCTAAGCATCCAGCTGTACTAGAACTCGGTTGAGGTAACTGAAAGCAGCAATTGTGAAACCTCCTAAAGGAATCTTTCTGTTCCCACAAGCGCGTTTTTCAGCTGGTTCCCAGATAACAGACAACTCAGTTACACTAACGGACTTGTGTTTTTCCCGTGTACCCAAACATTTTTATTCTCAGTGCATTGAGAACATGATGAAATAGATCTACCCGAACGGTCTCGGTGATGTGTTTAATAGAGTAACGTTCCTCTGCAACACGTAGTAGCCGCTTGTACGTAGGAGCCTCCGGAACGTGCGTTTTTGCTCACGCGGGGCAACGTGGCCAATTTTCACGCAGCGCTTTTCGCGAACAGCGGCGGTAAGGAGAGAGGGCGGGCGGGAGAAAGAGATAGAGCGAAGAGAGAGGGTGGAGGAGGGGACAGAGGAAAGGGAGCGCGGCGCGCGGGCGCTCACGCTCACCGGTCCATTCGGAAACGTAACGCTTCACAACTGTTTCCGCCCCCACTCCCGGCCGGAAGTCCCGTTTCATTCATGGATCGGTCACAATGGTGGTTTTACGCGGCTATTGAGGACGCCTGCCTCCCGCCACGCCTCTTCTCGCTCTCCTCTCTCTTCCCCCTTTCCTCTTGCCCTCCCTCCTCTATTCGCCACGTTTCATTCTCTCTGTTTCTCTTTACTCTCCGCTCTCCTTGTCCATCGCGCTCCTTCTCTCTCTCTATCTTCCTCGGTCGCTCTCGCCCCCACGTGTTCCCTCTCCTTCTTCTCCCGCTCTCCCTCCCCCCCTCTGTCCGTATTACCGCTCGTAAAGTACGCGGAACGTTGAATATACAACAGTTCGCGGTAATCATAAAAAATTTCAACGACGGCGCATAGCGCGGAGGAGAGCTAATTTGAAAGTTTAAGTTGTTCGCGCGAAGGGTTGCGCGCGATTCGCGATCACGCGCAAGCTCGCGCTGTTATTATGCAATTTCGAATGAACGTCGCGCTTTTGTCCGCGTTCGCGTGGTATCCTCGGTTCTCTCGGGAACGGGGGTGCGCGCGACGGCGTTTACGCGCGACGTCGGGGATTCGCGGCAACATCCGGTCGCGATTTTCCGCGATTTGCCGCTCTTCATCGTTTTCTTTCGCCGCGCCAAGACTGGAGGAGGAGAGAAGCGCGACGTATTTGCGCGCGTGCTCGGATAAATAAACATCGAAAGTTCGGCGAGGAAAGCTCGTGAAGAAATATTGTTCCGCGTGCGTGCTTGCGAAACGAACAAAAACGAAAGCACAAAGCGACCGTGTATACAGAGAGAATAATACATAGATATCTTTTTATATATAAATCCTCTTAAATTTTACGCGCTTTGGTGAAGTGGAATTTATATCTTAAATTTGTACTCCGCAATTTAATTCATTCATGCAGCTCCGTATCGAGAAAATAAAATTGCAGACTACCTATTCTCGTGAATGTACTTTATTGTTATCTACACGGAGAAAATAATATATAGATCTTTTTATATAAATCCTCTTCAATTTTACACGCCTTTTGGTGAAATGGGATTTTTACCTTAAATTTGTACCCTGCAATTCAATTCATTCATGCAGCTGCGTATCGAGAAAATAAAATTACAGACTACCTATTCTCGTGCATGTTCTCTATTGTTATCTACGTAGAGAGAATACTATCTTTTTATGTAAATCCTCTTCAATTTTACGCGCCTTAGTGAAATGGAATTTTTACCTTAAATTTGTACCTCGCAATTCAATTTATTCATGCAGTTCCGTATCGAGAAAATAAAATTGCAGACTATCTGTTCTCGTGCATGTATACTCTATTATTATGTTATCTACACAAAGAGAATATTATAGCGAATTTTCACGTAAATTCTTTCTAATTCTACATAGAATTGGAACGTTTTCGTGAAATGGAATTTTTACCTTAAATCTGTATCTCACAATTGAATTTATTCTGCTTGAATTTATTCTGCTATCGAGAAAACAAAATTATAGAGATTATCTATTCGCGCATATAATCTATTATGTTATCTATCGAGAGAATATTACAGCTTTTTCCCATATCTTTTTTTTTAATTTTACAATGTTTTCTGGTAATGCAAAAATAAATTTGTCAATGAGTTTATTGTATTAAAGAACATAGTAAATTTTTTAATAGTTTAAACCTCATTTTTTATATAAATAGCGTATATAAATCGGTAGGATAATAAGGGACGGAAGAATATCGATATTCTCGGTGTTACAAAGTTCTACAATAATTTTCTTCCCACGTGTACAAAAAATACTTCGTTCTCGCCGGAGAAGCGTTCGCTTTGTACCTCGAGCTGTTTGGTGCGCGCGACTTATCGTTCGTGTGCAAACCGTCAAGAGAGTTATCGCCGACTCGGCCGCGTACAATCGTATACACAACACTGGCGTAACTCCATACTAACGCGCGATTTGTGTTTTTCTTTATTGTTTACGTTTTCTATACGTCGTGTATTTCATAATTTCCCAGTCACGGGAGAGTGTTCGAGTTTTCGAGTTTCAATCTTCGGATATTTTTCTCGTCATTGTCCGCGCCTCTTCTATTCACATGCTACGCATCCCCTGATATCTCTTTCTCTCTCTACCTCCGAAACATATTCCTCGATGGAACAAAAGCAAGAGCGCTTGCTCCAATTTCGCTCGTATGAGTCGACGTGTCGTCGGCGGAATGGTGGCTTCGGGAGAATCATCGTGGGAACAAGATACTTCCGGAACTGATTCCACGAACCAAACGGTAACGACGACTTCCGCTTGTCTACCAAAGCACAGGAAGGTGCTCGAAGCACGACGATAGAACAGGCCCGCGGAAAAGAGAAGGAGGAGGAGGAAGAAGAGATGGAGAACGGCAAAGGGGAGAGTAAGGAAGAACGGGGAAGGGAAAGAATGAAGATGAGAGACGTCGGTCGGTTGTACGTCGAAGAAAAGGCGCGATACCGTTTCTCACTGGGGGAACAAAGTCTACGAAATATCCGTCTTAATTAACGATCGCAAGTCTTTACATGCATCTCTAGGTCGTTCTACATTAGTTGCAACCCGATCGCAACCAGACGCAATTCTTATTGCGACAGCCAATCGGAAGCATCAATGGTGCTATTGACGCTTCTGATTGGCTGTCGCAATAAGAGTTACAATCGACTTGCAACTAATGTAGAACGACCTTTCGGGAACTCGGGGTGCTCGCGACGAGGCCGATTGAAATGCGATTCGTTTAATCTCACTGTAGAAGCGTTAACGCTTCCAACGGGGCATGCGTGTCGCGTTGAAATAGAATTTCCACTTTTAGTTGGTACCTTTTAATTCAAATTATTCGTATGGTGTCGAGAAGATAAAATCAAAACTTCTCTATTCGTACATCTGTTCTATTACACAATATTATAGATAGTTTTTCTTTACATGTAAATTTTTTCAACTTTAACAGCGTAGGAATAAACTGCACACTAAGAGAGAAAAGATATTAAAAAAAAATATAAAATATTTATTCGATGAGTACCAATAACATATTACTTAAATATAAATTCTTTGGATAGAATAAACAGTTACATTCATGAAGAGATTTTAAGAAAATGTACACTGAGAGAATATTGTAACTAAATATTAGAGAATATATATATAACTAAAATTGCATTGTAATTTTTACTATAATATTCTCTCCATATATGTTTTCTCATTTGAAACATATTTCATATTAGTATGAGTAAATGTGTCACTATCTAGTACCACCACCGAATATAAATACTTTTTATTTCTTAGATACTTTTTTTCATTGTAAGATGTCTATCTTGTTGAAGAACATTTCGTTAAAAACATAGCAATGTTTTAATAACACATATGAAATAAAAGGATAATAAATTACTGAATGTCGATCTGTTCTTCCATTACAAAATTCTACAGTAATTTTTATCATGTGAAATTCTCCCCGTGTATTATTATGTCATCTTCCATCTTTTGCGGCTTTACATTGAAATTACCTCGGCATCGTCCTTAGTTCTAGTCGACTTGATGAGTTAACACTTTATTCATTAATAGTTTATATACTCGATATAAATATACTGTTGTAAATATACTGTCATAAACGTTGTTGCATTAGTTAAATACTGGAATGTTAAAATGAACGCTAATCATTCCGCGATATTGTTATAAAGTAAATGCATTTTCAAGGTCAGACTGAGAAGAAAAATCGAAAACAGTTCGGGCTGCAAAGACTCGATATTATAGAAAATGCATCTGTATTTTCATTCGTGGTTTTAATCGAAGTGAAAAAGTGTTCGCTCGAAACGTTAAGATGAGGTTTCCAAGCGCGCACAGGGCCCGATACTCTCGCCGTCGTCGATTTGTAGTAGCCGATATCCTGGCCTCTCAAGGAGGAAGACGAAAAAGGAAGAAGAGTTGAAAGTAGGGAGAGAAGGAGGCGGAGGGGAGAAAAGATAGCGAGCTTCTACGAAGGCCGGAAGCCGGCGGCGGACGGGCGATCGCCGCCGGATGTTCATCTTTCCCCTCTGCTCCACCTCCTTCTCCTCCCCCCTTCCTTTTTCGATCTAGGTCTTGCATACTAAGTCGAATTTGCGTCAAGGCGAAAACACGTTTCTCGGTTTCGCGCGGTCTAACGCGAACGAAATAACACGTGGGTCTTCATTAAAATTCTATAAAACTTACCAAGCAATTCTCTATTCGTTTTGTAATATCAGTTAATGTTTTTAATGCTTAATTATAATTAAGGTTGAATTAGGTAAATTAAAAGGTTTACAGGATCTTGACAGATCTTTTACAAAAGAAATTAGGTAAAATTTGCAGAGATAGTTGTAAAAAGTTGTAATAGGATTATGAATTTTTTTATTATGTATGTCTATCAAGTACATTTAACAATATCTTGGTGTAAAGAATCGGAAAAGAATCGGAATTATAAAATTTTTAACTGTTATTGTCAAAATAGCATTTTTAAACTGTAACCGCGGTAACTTGAGAACGGTTTATACGATTTAATATGTAACAAAAATGTTTATCATAATTATCTGTATTGGTTTACGGAGGTTTCCCGTAAATTTTAAAATCATTTTTCATCTACTTATGTTACAAGCTCTAGTTTTTTTAGTGAAAAGATTAAATTTGATTTGTTATAGTTGCCATTTTGCAAAGTACTATCTTTTTCTTCAAAATCCACTTCGTGAACCGATAACTGTAACTCTAATGAATAACAAAAAATGTATTGATATTGATTTCAGATTACTCCCGTTGAAGCATAATTTTTGCTTAAATGATTTTAACATTCATAAAATGTAATTCTCTTATATCAAAATGTTATACTTAACAGACATGCTTAACAAAAACATTCATACTCATACTAATTTACAACTTTCTGCAACTCCTGAAATTTCACCTAATTTTTACTCCCATCAGAGTCCTGTGATCCCCTTAATGACGAAAGAACAAAACTCACTTTGCTGATGAGAAAGTCCTTCGCTTCGAAGTGGCGACCGAACATCTTGGGCGTTTCCCCTGGTGTGGGCTCGATTTTGATGCAAACCTCTTGACCTTTCCTGGCCGATTCCACGGGCTTATGGTTGTACTCTATACTAGTCACCATACCCAAGTCGACGAACTGAAACAACAAGTGCAAGATGCATGTGTTAATTTCGAAAGTACAGTACGACAATATATCGTATACTTTGCTGTCCTCGAGAGCCTCGAATCTCTTTATTAAAATAAAGCTAAGGCTTTAAGAGAATGTAAAATTTTCTTATTTGAAAAATATTTTATAGCAAAGTATTTTAGAATATAAGTATATAAATAAAAAAATACAAGATTAAAATATCGTTCTATTCCAAAAAAGCGAAATTTTTGTCCAAGAAACGCAATTATCAGATTTACATTGCGACGACTCCAAGGACAAGACGAAAATCGAGGGTATCAGCGACAGGCTGTCGCCGCAACTTCTGGTCCGCGTAACGACACGATACTACCTTCATTCACACTCGCGCGCTCATTCGCTCGCTCGAATTAGCATCAACGGCGAGCGCTCGAACGTGATTTAACGGCGAGTTCGCGCGCGATCTGCCAAGGCAGGTCTTTCCGCGGGCGAAGCTTCGGCCTGTGGTGGCTCGACTCTCCGCGCATTTCTCCTTTCTTTTCCTCTTTCTCACTTTCCTTTTTACTTTTTCCCCTATTTTTTATGCTTCTTTTCGCCTTCCTCGCCATCGATCGTCGGTGTCTAGTCGCGTGGGTATAACTTCGCCTAGGCACACCTTTGCCACGGCCGGAAGTCGGGAGGACAGCCGAGTACCTGAGCGAGCCGAGTCGAGTCGAGAGAGCCGAGCATGCTTGCTTGCCTCGCAACCGAGTCCCGACGTGGGTACGCATTTTCGTCCCGTGAATACCGGCGAGAATCGGTGAACTAAGTAGGTAGGTAGGCAGATATACCCGCATATACGTAGGCCGACGTAGGCTGCCTGTCGTGGACGGATCCACCGGGTGTTCGCGAATCCCGACGCGCAATCCACGATGCCCGACGGCTATCATGAAAAGGAAGGACTTGCGTGAAGAAGTCGGTCCTCTCGGCCGGACTCTCATTTAGATTAGAGATTATGTACTCCCTAAAGTGCAATCAAACATAAATGCTGAAATGCTGTACTTATAAACATGATTCAGTTATAAGTACAACACCAGCGTTGGGGATTATTCGATTGAAATTTTCTTTGATTATAAATAATTATATAATTATATATTAGGATCAACAAATCAGTAATCAAAATTAATCAGTCGCCATACATACAATCACAAATAATTTCATTGATATCATCAAATTTTGATGTGATCGACTATACATTAAATAATAATTAATTTCACTAGTCGATTAAATTATTCGTGATTACGTACATTAGGATTGATTATAATTTTGATTGTTGATTTGCCAACTATTTTAGTCGAAGAAAATTTTCATCAATCAACGCCCGACATTGTGCAACACTACGACTTCGTTGAAGGGATCAGTTAATAGTAACTATACTATTCCCATTATTGATATACTTTGCGAGCAAAGATAGCGTCGTTGCATGCAAGACGCATGAAAGTTATTAGTTCTATCGTCTCAGACGCGGAAAAAGGGCTGGATTTGGCATAGCGAATTCATATATTACAAATTTTGCAACGAAATCTTATTTTCACTGATCAAAATCAGTGAAATATGAAACGAAATAATTAAATATGAGAGTTTCTCCTGAAAATAAGTGACTCACGGAAAAATTCGTTTATTGATTCAATCAGGAATATGTTTATTGATTTTTAAGAGAGTAGATTGGAATCTTTCTTTATAGGAACATTTAAGGCCCGATGAAAACTCTCTCTTTTTCATGAAAGTGTACTTGAAGTTTTGACGATATTTTAACACTTTAATTATTTACGCTTAAATCATTATTATTGCACTTAAACTATGATACTGTTTTTTATTTAAACTAGAAGAATCGACAGACCGAGGTCTATCAGCAAAATTTCTCTTCGGAATAACTGACAAATTGTTTTTTAATAACACCATGTCTGACGAACCTTACCTGATGAAGAAGAAAGAAGAAAAAAACACACTTCATGGAGATCCTTTCTGACCCACGACGTGATCCCGACACTCGCAGCGGGAGTTCGGCGCGTATATAAAAGATTTTCGTCAGGCGCCGTTAGACGGCTGCGGATCGCGGGTTATTGAATCTCGGGACACGCTGTATAACGGTGTATATAGGCGAAAAAGCCCGGGCACGTTGCTCTGCCACGGCTGCGACACACCTGCGGCCGCGAGAGTGCAAAGTGGGCGACAAACCCGGACGCAGTCGCGTCCAGGATTTGCAAGCGCGAGCGAGCAAGCGAGCGAGCGAGCGAGCGAGCGAACGAGCGAGCGACCGACCAAGCGGCCGGCCAGCCGTGGTTAAAAAAGACCCGCGGCTTTTGCAACGGCATATTCTCTCTTGGGGGAGAGTCATGCTTGGTAATCGAGAGTAAACGATTGAGACACTCGTCAATGTTTACTGGCCAGTCACGACGCGACATTAACGCAGACGTTGTGTTTCCTGCGCCAACAAGGTCGACCTGTTCACCCTTTCTTTGTCTAATCGATTTTCGCAGCTTCCCCTTGTCATGCTTGTGTGAGACACAAAATCAATTTTTCTCCAACGAAAGCTAATTTGCCAAGAATAATTTATGGCAAACTATAGCGACTACTTCACCAATGTGAAGACGCAGTGTATGCATCCACGTCCTATGCAACAGCATATTGCTATGTATCAGCGTATCATATATGATCAAACCGCGATTAAGACACTTGTCGATGTTTATTGTCCAACGCACGTTGTGTTTTTTGTACCAACGAAATCGACTTGTTAACACTTTTCTTGTCTAATCAATTTTTGCAATTTTTCCTGTTACGCTTGTAAGTCACAAAATAAATTTTTCTTGAACGAACATTAATTTTCCATGAATAATTATTATGACAAACTATGTCAATTACTTCGCCGATGTATGGAATGTATCGTGTGATACACCCACGTCCCATGCAACAGTATTAGTACATCATACACGATGCACAGACGGAGAAAGGGTTGAGTAATTCCGCACTCGCGTTCGACCAAAACCGTGCCGAAGTTGAAAATTCATTTCGAGCAGGCAGATCGCGAAGCAAACGAGACATCTCTCTCAATTTGCCATCTTCTTCGACTCCAACTGCGTTATTAATTGCAAGTTTACTAATACTAAGCTCTCACGAACAGTGCCAGGGACTCACTATCGTGAGCAACTTGGGTGGTCGGCGACGACGTATTAAAGAGAAGTATACAATGAGAATCGTGCAATGGACAGCTCATTTTCCGGGGCCGGGCTCGTTTCTCTTCGCGATCGTAGTCAGCGAGCAGACGTCATCTTCGACGAATTCGGTCAGACGAACGGAGCGTGTTTATCCTTTGTCGTTACGGCTGATACAGATCTAGCGAGTCAACGGCGTCATATAGTCATGAAGCTGGCAGGCGCGTTATCGATAGGTGAACAATGACCGGTGGAATATGCCCGCCCGTGTATCCCGAAACCCACGCCACAAGACAGCGGTATACTCTCGCTCGGCTCTTGCCGAGTGCTTGATTGAATGAGCCACCCGGTATCTCCGCCTAGCGCTGACCGGTAACCGAGAGAGGCATCGCTTTTCGATCCTCTCTTGTGAATGAAAGAACCTCTGGAACAGCAACGAGATTTACGCGGCCCCGACGAATAAACATATTTACGTTCGTGTTTATATTTGTGTATGTTTTGGATTTTCCAGTTGTGTTTCATTTTCCCCAGATATATTTAGGAATGGCCATAAGTAATCAGGTGTGTCTACACTGAGAGAAAATGCTTGATATTTGTATATAACTGCAATCATATAGAAGAATAATTACTATAAATTATAGTAAGAAAAACTTTTTTAATTAATTTTTTACTATAATGTTAGTGATAATAACCTTGTATGCGTATGGCTATTAGCATTTTACTACAAAAAATATGGTTGAGGCTAAAAATAACTATTATTTTAATCGGATCTACCATTTTTTTTCTCAATATGTACACAGAGAAAATTTTATAGTGAAAATTACTGAAGAATTTCGTAATCGAGGAATAGATCGACATTCTGTAGTAATTGACTATCCATTCATTTCACATGCTATTTACATTTTAGAAAGTGAAATGTATGTGCTATGAAAAAGTTTGCGTTAAAATCAATATTCTAATGAAGAAAAAATTTGTTTGGTACCTATAATTACATAGAGAAATAACTATTATAAATTATGGTCAAGAAAAATTCATTTCTTTTTATTAAATTCTACTATAATGTTAGTGATAATAACCTTGTATGCGTATGGCTATTAGCATTTTACTACAAAAAATATGGTTGGGGCTAAAAATAACTATTATTTTAATCGGATCTACCATTTTTTTTCTCAATATGTACACGGAAAAAATTTTATAGTGAAAATTACTGAAGAATTTCGTAATCGAGGAATAGATCGACATTCTATAGTAATTGACTATCCATTCATTTCACATGCTATTTACATTTTAGAAAGTGAAATGTATGTGCTATGAAAAAGTTTGCGTTAAAATCAATATTCTAATGAAGAAAAAATTTGTTTGGTATCTATAATTACATAGAGAAATAACTATTATAAATTATGGTCAAGAAAAATCCATTTCTTTTTATTAAATTCTACTATAATGTTAGTGATAACAATTTTACATGTATGTTACTACTACCATTTTATTACAAAAATATATAGCTGAGGGCAAAAGTAACTATAATTTTAGTTAGATCATTTTCTTTCTCCCAGTATGTAATTGCTGTAGCAATTAAGTATTCTTTCGTTTCATATGTGTTACTTGCATTTTAGGAACAGAAATGTGCTATTAAAAAATTTGCTATGTTCCTGGCGAAATTTATTATCTTCTTTAGTAAGAAAAACTGACAGTCTATTCTTGCAACTACTAGAAACAATGAAAATAAAAAAAAATTTTTATACATATAAAAAAACTAACATATACACTAAAAAATCTAACGTACACAGTACGTAAACAAATGTTCCAAAAAGTCCACTC